TATATATATATATATATATATATATATATATATATATATATATATATATATATGGTCTTAAGCCTTTTCATCATCGATTTCCACTCTCACCACATCACACAAGAACATACTCGGTGTTGAGCAGAGTACTCTGCTCATCATCTTCTATCACCGGAGACCAATAAGCAATCATTGCACTCTCAGATGGTCGAGGGCTGACTTCTCCCAGAGCTTGTTCCGCTGTTGGTGCTCGAGGTACTCCCTGTATCTCACTCCTCTGTACATGGCTGGCCTCTCGGGGCTCACCAGTTGGGCGACTGGTTCCACCACCGTGTCCAGCGAAGGAGCCACCACGGTAGCGATCGACATCCGCGTGCTTCGGCCATTGATGACGGCCCGGTGCAGCACGCTCTTGTACCTGCCATTGGTGACAATCTGCCTCCATGGATGGTTTTACAGTCATCATAACAAGCTCAAGTTTGCCACAAGAACCAGTGGAGTTGTGGAGTGGTGTGTGTGAGAGAGCTTATACCTCCATCTGATCGCCAGTGTTCACGAGGAAGGAGTTGGGTGGGGGCTTGACATGAACCCATTTGCTGCCATGCTTGACTTGCAGGCCGTCGACGCCGTTCTGGTGGAGGAGCGTGAGAAGGCTGTGGTCGGAGTGGGGAGGAAGACCCATGGCCAGCTCCGGCTGAGGACAGGGAGGGTAGAGGTTGACCACACAGACCTGGAAGCATGCGTCGAGGTCCAAGGCGTTATTCATGTAGCCATCGTCGAGTTCCAGGCTCTCCCACATGCCTCTGAGTAGTTCCATACCCACAACCCTCGTGCAAGCCGCGTACTGCCCCAATGCCTCCCTGTAAGTGTTTGCGTTTATGCCACAGAGTCGAACTTATGAAGAAAGTAGTGAACTTGGGCCATCGGAATACCTGAAACCGAGAGGCTTCGCCGGAGAATGAAACGCGGGGTGCACAACTATCTTGAAGTAGTCCCTCCAATAGCCAACGTCGTCAACCTTCGAGTTGAAGCTGGTGCCGTACCTGATGGGATCCATGACATGCTTCCCCGAATGCTCCGCCTTCTCCTCCTCCTCCAAGTCGAAGAACCCCTGGGCGGCAGCCAGCATCGCCTCCCTCACCGTCTCCGGCACGCCATGATTCACAACCTGCAATCACACGGAGTCGATCAGTGTAAAGCCAGCATGCGCACGCAGAATTGGTGCTGCGAGCTGCGGACGTACCACGAAGAAGCCCCACTCCTCGCAGGCCCGGCCGAGCTGCCGCACCATCTGCGAGCGTCGGGCGGGATCTCCTTCGGTCAGCACGGAGAGATCGATCGTGGGGATTTGCCCCTCGAGGGTGGGATCGACGTCGGAGGGAGCGTCGGGATCTCGACAGGCATAGTGGGTAGGGACGGAGGAGAGGGCGCCGGAATCAGATAGTTGTTTGATGGAGTCTGGGAGAGAGAAGAATCGCGCCGTTGCCATGAGAGGACTTGGTGGAGGCTCAGATGTGGAGATAGGGGAGCGAGGAATTGGAGAAGGAAATGTTGTTTATTAATAAAAAACACATGAAATTAATTTTGCTATTGTTAGATTCGTAATAATTTTATTACAATTACACATTCGATTTTAGCTAACTTATGCTATATTTTTCTCATTCTAACCTTGGGAAGTAAAAAGAAGACGAGGATATTTTTGTTGGCGATTGCAACAGGTGCTCTCATCCACACGAATCATGATGATGACGTTTGGCTGCCACTGGTTACCGGATCAGGACGACGACTTCAGCCAAAAGAAGACGAGATTGATTGCAGCAACTCTTATGGGAGGTAGCGTGGTTGATGACAATTACATGAATAAATGTATATACCAAGCATAAATAATCAATAAAAAGAAGGTTTATATAAGTGTGGTTGATGACATTTGACGGTTGTCATGAGGTTGTTTGGCGTCGCCCCATTCTAACAAACTTGTACTCGAGAAAACGACGCGCTAACGCCATCGCGTCGGCAATTTTTGCTTTATTTTTTTTTCTTAAAATTCTATTATTTTTAATACGAGAAAAAGGAAAAAGGATCCTTTTAAACACCGCCCTTCATTTTGTATTTTTGTACATTTCTTCAACGGATGGTGTAATTCCACGTCATTTAAATTGGATTTTGGTTATTAGCGTGTAAATGCAGTGAGGGAAAAAGGGAAGGAATCGAAAGAGCTCGACTCGGTCAGACTCGCCCGGCGTGTCCGGTAGCTGACGACTCGTCGTCGTCGGCCGCGGCGGCGGCGGCGGCGGCGGCGACGGACTTCGTGGCGCCACTACCCCCGCCTCCAAGGCAGTAGAACGGCGTTCTCACGGCCGTGAACTTCCCGCTCGAGGAACCTTCTGCTTCCCCCTTCTTCACCGACGCCTCCCCGCCGTCAGCTCTCCTCACCGTCGCCCACGGCGGGACCTTCGCCGACAGCGTCCGGATGAGGAACGACGGCCAACGGTCCGACCTACCCAGCCGCACGCTCCTCCCACCGCGGCTGCTCCCCTCCCCTGCTCCTCCTCCACCGGTGCCACGGGACCCACGACGCCAGCTCCCCTCGACAGCGGTCGCAAACGAGACGCAGCTCGTCGACCGGTGGAGCTTCTGAGAGGCAAATATCTCCCGCCACACGTGTTCCGGGAGCCGCAGGGTGTACCGCTCGACGTTCTCCCCGGGCAGAACCACCGAGTGTCCTGTCGTGTGGGAACGACGTAATTTCGGCGGCCGGCTCCCCGATCGCAATCCCACCTCCGGTCTCTGCCTCTCCTCTATCCGTGCCAATCCCTCATTATTGTCCTCCCCGGGCGCCTTGTCCACGACGATCGTCAGGTGATCCAGCGGCCGCCGCAACTCCTCTTCTACTCGCCGCTCGGACGGATGATGGGGTGTCTCGCGATCCGGGTCGGCGGCAATGACCACGGTCGGGGTTTCTCTGTCAGCCGTGGCGTTGGCTGCTTCAGCAAGGTTGGAACGGCAGACGGGGCAGGTGACGTGGGAGGCGAGCCAGGCGTCGATGCATTCCGGGTGGAAGGCGTGGCTGCACGGAGGAAGAAGGCGGAGGGCGTCGTCGTCCTCGAACTCGCTGAGGCACACCGCGCACTCCAGCGCGCCCTTTCCCAGCTTAAGCCCCTTCACCTCCGCGTACACCAATGTCGGGAACGTATACAGCAGCTCCGGGCTCAGCCCCATCTGCTGCTGCAATAGCAGCCTCCGCGACCGGGCTGCAGTTCCTCGGGCGAGGCCGTGTCGGTCGGAGCCGCCGCCGGCGCAGTGGCGGATGTAGATGGAGAGGAACCCCACTAAGAAGAGGGCGGCCACAAGGAACACGATAACTATGGCCATGGTGGCGTTGAAGCTGGGCGCCCCGAAGTAAGGGTTGTACTTGTCGGAGGGCACCGAAGCCGACGAGGACTGTGCGTGGGCGCACCTGGCAGTGAGCAGAAGCAGCACGAGCGGGAGGACGACATAGCCGGCCGACGCGATCGGACGGCAGCCGTGCGTCGTAGCCATGGAGGGCGGTGAATAGCGTCGCGGGGCGGAGTGCGATAAAGGCGGAAGGGAAGGCGTACCGACGTGAAGATAAAACCGCGTCCGGGCGCACGCTTCAGAGCACCAGGAAGGCGGTTCGAAGCTTCGGTGGCACGTGCGCTCGCACGGTCACGTGGTTGCTTACCCACGGGCCGCTCCTCCCTCCGTTCGTACGCAAGTTAAGCATCAGGGTGACCACCGGTGAGCCGACCGCCGATTGGCTGACGGACCCAGTTCAGTTATGGCTGTAAAGTCACCAATCAGAAAAAGACGTCTTCAGATTAGTCTACAACGCATGGGGCCCGTAGGAACGACGAATGGGTCCCATAAGACTGGTAGGTAATTGACATCTTGTGAGGTTCTACTGATTCCTTCCGTGTTCGCAGGTGTCGTCAATGCAGCAGCAGCAACTCCGTCTGCTCGACTCATCAACCAAACTAGAGGCATCAGTGGTCGGATACCGTCCATTCCAATCATGAATCCCCAGCTGTTCTCACCACCTTGACTCGTGCTGGTTCGCATCCACCGTGCAGGTATAACTTGTACTTGAAGCTTGGTTACGTATGATAGCTGTGAAGCATTGGGTGGGCAAATCAATCGAAGCCAGCAGGTAAGCAAGAATGATATTTGCGGCTTATTCCTTTGCATGATATGATAAATTAGGCATCAACATAGAAAATCTGGCATGTTCTAGTGAGATATATATATATATATATATATATATATATATATATATATATATATATATATATATATATATATATATATATATATATATATATATATAT